CTAAAACACGTTAGGACTTTAATTGACAAATTAATATTCACACAAACTCAGTGCTGTTTGAATGTTTGCGATCTATGGCAAGGCCAAATTCTTCCTCAGTTCTGGGCGCGTTCAAATACAAATTTTGAAAAGCAAGTGTTAATTTTGTCATTTGTTTGTTTTATACACACACACCACAGTTTAAGGGTCGAATCCACTTCATCGAACTGGATGAAATTCGGTGCGATTCTCCTGTGAAGATTTTGTCCATATAAATCGGATTCAGTCGAAATTATTTAATTTTAATTAAGAGTTGATGAAGGCCCCAAATTAACTTTTCCGTGCATCTTTCGATCCCTTACGTTTCGTTTCGAAATCGACACAGTGGACCAAGACACACTTCGTCCGCTCTTTGTGTTTAAATATTTTTGCGTGGTTTAGTGGCTCAGTGAGCTATTGCAGTAGCCCATGTCCGTACGTACCTACAAGAGGCGTGTGTCCAGCCATGGCGGGAAGTTTCTGAGAGAAGTACATGAGGAATATGCAGATGATGATGGCCGTGCAGCCGTTCAGGATGATTTTCTCCCCCGCTGTCGGCGGCAGCCAGAAACTAGCCAAGGTCAGCAAGACGATTACTGTCGGACAAAGCAACGAAAATCGGCAGTCAGTGGTCGGTCGCCTTTGTGCTCCGAGGAAGGTTCTTCCGGGGTAGCCAGCGGCGCCAACAACGAGGGAACCCGTCGAACTGGCGGCCCCAGACCGCGAATGACATTGCCATTAATTACCAGCACTAAACAGAAGCAGGCGTGACTCGAATTTTGTTGGCACGCAAGAACACGCATTCCAGTGCATGAATACATTTTCTGCGAATCTGAGAGAATGCTCGGCAAATGCAAACTCTCGCTGAGCAAACGCGTGTGTTTAGGATCGAAAATATAACACGTCACAGAAGGCTGCAGTTGTACCTTGGATAATGCATCTGCTGCTGTTACGTCTTCAGTGGGTGGATTTCGGGAAGAGAATTTTCGAACCGCCTGACTTTCCTCGCACGGAGTTTCAGACTGTGCCGTCAGTTCGCTGCGTCCCATCTCGTAAATCGGCTACGTTATGCCCAGAGAAAGAAGAAAGTCTCGCGATTTCTGTCAACTTGACATACCCGTGGCAGGGGTGATGACGATCGCGCTGTACGTGGGGGAACGTCTTCTCAGAGTCAGGTTGTACGTGATGTCGATGTATGGCTCGACGCAGCACGCGTACATCCTGACGTTGCGCGTCTCCTCCACTCCCACGAGCTCCCATTCCGAGTTGGTCTCCAGTTCCTCGACCTGAACAAGCAATGAGACAGCTCAAGAGCTGATGGTGAGACCAGTGGGCGGGGTATGCAGATGAGAAACGCATACAACACGAAGGATTGAGAACATTTGGGAGGAGTCGCTGATAGGCAGCGGACATGTCCACTTACATCCGATCCCTGCTTATCGAGGTGAATGTCGACGTGGTCCCCGTCGTACGTCCAGGAACCCAGGGTCAGGTGGCAGGACTGCACGTCGAAAGGCCACGTGCGCAGGTCGAGGTCGCAGAACACCTGGAACTGCGACGGAGGCACCCACACCACCTCCCCATTGGGGTACGCGACGCAGTACGTGTTTCCGTAGTGGTCCACCACGTTGCCAGTCGCGCTACAAATTGATACACAAATGACACAGGACTGATATTAGAACGGGTAGCCAAGAAATAGGGTTTGGCATCAGCGCAGTCAATGTTTGCGGTCGCCCGGACAACAAACGTTCGGAATTTACCTTCATGAATGAGATCGAGAGACTGTCGTGGGTTGAACGGCCCCCATGAGGCCGACAGCTCTTTCGAACACAGCAACGAACCCGACGCCGCGCGAACGGGGAAACAAGAAATACAAGACGATGCTCCTTGCCTGCATGCGGGGATAATATTACAACTGTGTTGTAGTGTCCTTCATTACGAAGGCTGTGAAACAAGGAGCTGGGCTGTGATACTCCTCTTACCAAAGCGCGTGGCCGGCCGGCCTACCTGTTGTACAGCACGATGTCCGGCTGCCAGACCTCGTGGTCTGCCACGTGAAGCACGCTCAGACCCCCGTAGTCGCTCTCATTCCACTTCAGTTTCTCGTCCGTCCAGGTCTGCCAACATTGAAATTCGACTTTGTTAGGTTAGCCGCGTCTTGGCTCGCGTAGGGAATTACAACGCATCACAGTTGGTACGTACCATTCTTACCCAGCCCTGCACCGTCAGAATGGACTTCTCTTCATCCTGCAATTGTAAGACACAAAATGAGGCGTCACATTAGATTGAAATCAGACGAGCACAAAGGCTTCGTCTTCTTTCGGAACCACTTAAATTTTAGGCGTGTGAAGCCTCACCCACGCGTTGGTCTTTGAGTTTCGTTTCCCCATACTCTGGTAATTTGCCTTTACTTGAGTAACGCCGAAGTGCATAATTGATTGAATAGATTGAAGTGAATTCACTCGGCATGTGTTTGAGTGAGATATTTCATGAAATAATTACCAACGCGTTGTTTATAACTGGGATGGGAGTTTCTTACGTCCACAGGTGCCCGTCTATGTATTTATATATATACTTATTTATTTATCAGTGTTCTTGAACTCATTACTGTTCACTTCTGCAGATGCCAGAAGCAACGTGTACGCCACACTCAATTTAAAAGCTACCTCAGCGGTGGCTTTTAAATGAATGCAGCGATATGTTTATCTGTTTTAATAATACATTGGTATTCGTCAGTGCTGCACTGACGAATAGGAGTGAAGTCAGGAGACCGACCAGGTCGATGTGTCTGAAGGTCACGTGCAGGCTGACGACCGTTGTGTTGGTGTGCTGTGCCGGCCTCGCGTACTTGTCGTAGCTGAAGAGCAGGTCCTTCTTTAGACGGTCCGTCCACGTGGCGTTCCACGCGCTCGGCGTCCGAAGGGGCAGAGTCCCAGTTGCCGTGTCTGCAACATTGCGGGCCCCCCAAGAGGCAGGTGGTGACTGAATCGTGACGGTGTATTTTCGAAGAATTTTAATGTGTTTTATGCAATAGAAATGGTACACGGCATGGTGTACTAAAAGTGGCCTGAGGATGGCATGTCGAAACATGTTGCCTTGTAGTAAATTTGTGTGAATGGAAATGATAATGAATTGAGTAGTACCGTATACATAACGACCGGAATGCTTCAGTGTGAGACAGAAGAATGAGATTGTCGGGACATATAGAAAAGAGAAATGCGTACAGAATTTTAGTTGGAAAACCTGAAAACACAGCTTGGGGCATATGAGCATGGAACGGAGGATAATGAAAAAGGCATGTTGAGCAAACAGGACATGAGGGTCTAGCTGTAGGACTGAATCCACCGATTATGGCCGCTGACAGTGTAGGGAGTGCCCAGTAAGCGGACCACTCAATGGAGGAAGGAGTTTCCGTCTGTCAGTACAGTCTGTGTGCCACCTGTTCGTTGCAATCTCCTTTCTAGACATTGATAACGCCTCGTATCGCAACACTCAGACAGACAAACCACCGACGTCTTAATCAGAGAAGGGCGAAATACATTGGTGATATTTTATTTGGAGTCCCTGCTGCCGTCCCTTCCAGCAAACGTCTGGAAAGTGACTCGCTCCGAGGTTCGAATTCATAAAGTTCAGCGGCCAAAATCGCTGGAACGCAGTATAGCAAGAAGGCGGGAAGACGAGCGACTGTCAGACCAGTCGATTGATGGTTTCAGTGCCTCCTTGTGCGCTCCGGTGAGGGTCCACGTTTTTGAAACGTATGTTAAAACGAAAATAACACGAGTGGGGGGGAAGCCTCTGCATGGTCGTCGCAGTCTGTCACGCGTTCAATTTCCTCATTTATAATATCGCCAGTGGCTTAAAGCGACGTGACGCCATGGTTTATGGTACCCAGCCTAGGCACTCTCCCAGAGAGACCGAGGAAAACCACGACGGTTTTAGAATAGTCGTTCTTTGGTCAGCGATTTGTGCCCGCGTCCCTCCGATTTCGAAGCAGGAGTGCCAACCACTCGGTCGGTACATTTCGGTCCGACTCGCTGGTCCGTTGGTGCATTGGAACCGCATCTGCTCCGTACGCATGCGCCGTCGGCTGTTCTCAATGGTGGCCACTCATCATACAATAAACAGTAATCGAGCTACCAAGTGAAATCAATAGCTGCACGGTGACGGGGCGACAGGGCGTGCCAAAATGAAGTTATCGGACCAAACTGTGTCCCAAGACGCACTTAGTCGCTCATGCAATTTTGTGGAAGAACAAGTTTCATTGCATTGCTTAAATGACTGCGTCGTAACTCCGCGTGGATGTGCTCCGTCTTCAAAGCTGAAGATGGAGACGTTGCGTTACCTACAACTCCACACGACGTCACAACCTCATATTCCTTACTGGGTTGTACGTAGGATCTCGAACGCGTTTTACAACGCCGCGGTTATTGTTAGGTCAGGGGTCGGCAACCTTTTCATTGCCGCGTGTCGCAGGGGAAAAGAAAACGTGTATTCTCGTGGACAGTAAGCGAATGTTCAGTTCGAAACAGTAGCTTCGTGTCTTCACTTTGTCTGTCAGCTTTCAGTCAATTGTTTACTTTAGGAAACTCAGTTATTTGTGTCACAGCAATTTGCGTAATCATCACACGATCTTAAGGTTTGTGTTCAAGCATTAAAATCCCTTCTCAAGGCGGCAAATCTGTTCTTGTCCCCAGGGAAGAAGAAGTTGGACCACCCTGTGCAGGATAATGCAATTGAATCCAATTATCGTTTCATGTTTGTGTTCGCTGGCCAAGTCAAGCGAACGTGTGATCAGTATCACCGCAATGCCCTATTCCACTTTCTTAGGGGTCATCGCGCGATCATTACCAATTCTCAGTTGGACAGGAGAGCTGTTTCCACAACCAAAACGCAGCGAGCAAAGTGAACGGAGGCAAGGCGTAGGCGTAGGGGTGACGTATCTTTCGACTCCAATTGTTACGAAACTCAGTCCGCACTTTCGTTATCTCTGACCTCAGCATTCGTCCACGAATTTAATAAGAAGTAAACAAACGAGGCCAAAAGGGGTCAAACTACCGAGACAGGCATTTTTTATTGCCACAGAGGGTGAAAGGGGCGAGGGAAGATAAACATTTGACCCCAGAGAACGATTACAAAGCGGACGAAAGGACCAGGCGATGTCAGCGATTTTATAGTTCATAATGAGGAAAAACAGTTTTCTTGATTGCTGCTTCAAACTTAGGCGGTCAAGACCTTTCGCGATTTTTGTGAAACCTGAAAATTTATTGCCAAGTTCGCAAGAGTCAATGTCAGTTTTTTAACCACAGGTCACTTAAGTTTCTTATGACGGTGTCTCAAACGCAGAGCTCGCCTCGTTTCGGATGAGATGAAAATTTTAAGGATTTGAAGAGAATATGAGAGGAGACAAGGTGCAGTGCCCACATTCACTGGGAAGCACTGAGGAAAACCTTAAGAAACCTGTCAGGAAAACTGGAGATACTTGAGTTTCAAAATAAAGCTGTAGTTCAAATTACAGTTTGTTAATTTCGAAAGAAACGCTTAATGCTGCCCCAAAATGGTAAGACACTGGGCCCACAGCCAGAATGACATAAAGTGTGAAAAAAGCGGTTTCGCCATTTTCAGGGTCAAAGCGAGTAAGAGGAAGCTTTGTTTGATTCGTAGGATGGAGGCAGTAGGTTCCTCCAAAGTGTTGGCAACCACATACAAGACAAGAGTGTGAAATGCCAACACCACGATCTCCTCTGAACGACAAAGAGCGAAATGATGAGGTGGCGTGGGAGGAAGTGGCTGTGGCGTATTTTACGATAATGTCCAAGCGTTAATCTATGGCTCGTCAGGAAGCACTTGAGTACTTTCATTATTCTGTATAGGAATTTAACAACAAATGTGTGGGTAAACTTTTTATGGTACATTATTTATCTTTAAATGATGTTTGAAGAACATTAGGATTTATGGTCTCTGCCATGTTTAAATGTCTCATCCTATATACTACATAAACACAGACAACTGAGAATAAATTCCCCACTCGTCACGTACCTCTAACAGCAGCTAAAGTCCCAGTGTGTGTCTGAGTAAGAACCAGGAAGAGGAGTACTGCGAGCTCCTGTCCCACACACCTCAGGGCAGTACTGGCTTCTGGCATGATTGAACTGACACTAAATCAGCATGAAAAAGCTGTGTTGTAACAGTGCACCCACAAACATCCCACTGAGACAGCAGCGACGAGTGTGAGGGAGA